TTATCCGCTGTACTCTCCGATACGTGCCAAGAAATCAATTCTCCCTCCGTCTCGCAGTGTCTTTCTATCCCTTACCACCTCTCTCTCTCTCTCTCTCTCTCTCTCTCTCTCTCTCTCTCTCATATATATATTTACATAAAAAATGTCTCTCTCTCTCTCTCTCTTCCCTTACTTTTTCTTGCATACTTACGCACTAACAGGCACACGCGCGCGCGAGCTCTTTTTCTTCCCATTCCAATTTTCCATATTCTCCGATTCAATGTAAGCGAGTCTTTTTCCTCTCCATACACCAATATATCTTTCAACATTTCGTTATTATGTCTTTTTGATACATATCTCTATTTTCACCGGCCGTATTCTATAAATATTCTTAAGTGAATTTACATATTATACAATGTTTGGATACGTTGCAAAAACGAAACTTTTATGATAAATTTATTATCTCATAGGGTAAAACAGTTAAAGCGATATTTTATTTATGCTCGGCGCTGAAATGAAGAAAACATATTTTTTTTATAACATCCCATTAAAAAATTCCTATAATTAATTTATTTATTTATTTATTTATATATTTTTTTGTCTGTATTGTTTTCAATCAAAATCGATATCCGATACTCGATCGATCCAAAAAAAAAAGCTCTTCTTCATACTCTAAAATTTAAGCAGCTAATTGTTATAATATCCGACAGGCGAATTATTAAACGTGTGACCTTCCTTAAATTTCTAGCTTGTACTCATGGTTCACTCGACATAATTACATATAAGATGTTAACAATGTTATTCAAAGAAGCTTAAACATTTGATTCTTCAAAATTGCAAAAATAAAATTAACATAATCTCCGATTCATTTTACATCCTACCGTCTCCTTAAAAAGTCTATAAAATCTGCCAATTTACACGAACTATTATGTTTCCAAGGACCGCAATTAACATGAGCAACTTTGAGAAAGCACGCGTTACGAAAAATATTACTAAAATATCTGGTTTAGTAATGGATTTATAAATTTAACGGCTTATCTCGCCAATTCAAGTGGCGTCAACAACATTAAACGCTATTCGAGCGAATGTTTGTATCCTCCTGTCTACCATATCATCAAACTCCCGTACGTATAATAACGGGTACGTTTGACTTTTAATCGGTGGTGCACGGACATTTCCTAATGTGGTCCATCGGCACCTCACGCGATGCCTCGATGCTCCCAATCGCAATAGTCGGTCTAGCCGAAAAAATTAATGTTTACAGATGTGAGCGATCCCAAGCCGACCCTGCGGCTCCTTAAATGTCGGATGTATCGTGCACCCCTTGGCTTCGCTCTTCGGCGTCGACTTCGGCGTCGACTTCGGCGGCGGCTTCACGTCTCGGCAGCGCGACTCCTGGCAGCCGTCTCGACGACTGTCGCCGACCGATGCGTCGAGAAACGCGCGGAGTACTCGCCGTCCTCTTATCGCATCGACCCACCTCCCGGGCCCTCCCGATAGCTCTCTCGACCTTCCGCGGGGCCTCGTCTCTCTCTCTCTCTCTCTCTCTCTCTCTCTCTCTCTCTCTATCTCTATCTCTCTATCTATCTTTCTTCTCCCACACCCCTCTCCTCTGACCGCGTTTCCTTCTGACTACTCTCTAATCTTCGGACGAGGGTCCCCAGCGCTAAGTGGCTTTTCGAGTTTCGAAGTATTTCTCGTGGGACTCCCGACTCACTCGTTTCTATCGTTCTCCTCCTCGCCCTTATCGCGACCTCGCGCTCATTTTTCGCCATGCGACACGATCCTTGTCCTTCGCGTTCTCCTCATCTCCATCCAACTTCATTGTCGATCTATACTTCGTCTCATCCTCCTTCGCTCTCCCCGCACTGTATACCACGATGCCATTATTTTTTCACTGCTTTGGATAGCCTTACATCTCATTCCGCGCTTCAAAATCTTTATTCCTTTCTTGTTGTTCGGATTTTCAGCAATACCTTTTTGCCTCTTATTTCTTCTTCCTTTTCACTTGTTTTGTCGGGATCATTTTTCGCTTCTCATCATCGGTCTCTTCGGTTCTACGATGTCAAAACTCTCATTCTTCTCTTCGACAGATGCTTATTTGTCTTTAATGGCTGCATTTATCTCATAAAGAACAATTTTTATATATAAAAAAAAGTACATACAGTTTTACAGTTTCAATATGTGTAGGTAAGGTAGATTTAAAAGTAGAAATCGTATAAAATGTACATAAAATGACAATGTAAATACAATGTAGATATTTGTGATTTCTACAAAGAGATATTTGAGATTTCTACAAACAATTTTTTTAAGACATTTTTTTATAATAAGTAGTTGGATAATAAATAAAAAAATACTAGCTTTTCTTACGCCAGTCTTATAATAGATCGACTTATACATATTTCACACCGTAAGCTTACCGACACCTCATTTACAATTTATTGCCTGCACAATACTTCCTTACTTTGCCTCATTTCTTTGTATTACACGTATTAATAATCGGCTGTCTTCGTATTTTTATTCAGTCAGTTATGTTACAATAATTACATGTTTCTAGAAGATCTGACAAGAATTACGATTTCAATATTGTAAAGGAAAATTCAATTATATTTATACATATTATTATTAATCGATTATAACTAATTACACTATAAATCAACAATGTTAAAAATACCATTAGAATTATTTACCAATACTATAAAACTTTTAAAAATAAAGTCAAAATAAATTTTAAATTACAAAAGCACAATTTCATTATTAATTTAATCTAATAATTCATTATATAATATTGTATAATGATTGGATTAATGGCTTTGTTATATTAAATATTGTTGTTATTATTTAATTTTTTTTGTTACACGTTATTATGAAATTACCTACGTATTAATGAATATTTACAGTTGTCTCATATTTCAACTGTATCTTTAATTATATGCGATTAATTATTTTATTTAAATGCATTATTAATGCACATACAAAATTAATCTACAAATAACAATTGTATTAAATTTGATGTTAGAAGAATTATAATTATTGTCGAATTATTTTAAAAAATTGAGATTAATTTTAGATCATCAAAATATCAAAATATACTAATTTAAGCAATATATTAAGAATTTTATATTTGTTTACGTATAAGTAAGTTTAATAAATTTATTATAACACATCATGATTTTATGCCTTCTCCAATTAAATAATTGCAATTATTTTTCTTCAGCTTTTGATCTCTTAAGAATATTACAACATCATTTTATCACTCTGACTACAATTAAAATAAATTAATCCTAAAGAAGCTTATTTTTCTTATGGTTCTTTTGGTAATTTCTTTATTACGATAATCGAATTTGTATAATATTAAAATTAGAAAAATTTTCTATGTAACTATTATTACAAACAATATTTAACTTCTTCGATGTGTATAAAAAGTAAACAAATAATAGTTCAAAAATCACAATCAAATATAAATCAGAATGTAACAAATCGTGTAATTTAATAAGTTACAGTTCTTGCGCATCAAATGCGTAATTTATTTGCTAAAATAGCAATTACATCATAAACAAAAATTGAAAAAGTAAATTGGAAAACAGTACTCTGCATAACAACTACAAAATAAGTGCAGTGCGTTACAAAAACAAAAAACGGCTACTTATACTTAACGATGATACAAAACACAGTTCATAGTCAATTACTGTAAAGAACCGTGCAATTTGTGCTCGAATGTAATTATGCAAGCTTACATAGTAGTAGTCGCTCTCTCTCTCTCTCTACTCATAGCGATCATTTTTCGCACGGAGAGTCATTTACGCATTTACTTCCCTCGCTTTATCGTACTCACTCTCCTCTTTTCACCGTATTTTATTCTCTTATTTTCATTTCTTACCCACTCTCCCCGCTCGCCCCATTATCTTTCTAGGAAGAGGAGTCGTAGGCGAATCACTAGTTCTCAAGATAAAATAGAGAGAAAAGGCGAGAAGCAAGAAGGAGAGACAGAGAGAGAGAGAGAGAGAGAGAGAGAGAGAGATAGATACGTCGCGAATTCACCGAATCGACTTGTACACGTCTTCTGTATTCAATTTCCATTGGCAATTCTTTCTCTCTCTGTTTCTCTTTCTCTCTTTCTCTCTCTCTCTCTCTCTCTCTCTCTCTCCCTCTCTTCACAAACATGCACACACGCGCGCGCGCGTATACACTCACATTCATACTCATACACACTCACAATATCACTTTTTCTTTCTAATAGCGCCGGTTTTATAATGTACCCCAAGAGATAAGGTCGGTCTTTTCTTATTTTGATTTGCTGGAGAGTGAGAACGGACCGAAGAACGTAAATTAAGAACCAATAAAAACGTAACGAAAGATTTCCTTTAAGAGCATCTCGTAATCCTCTTTTTTTATTGATAGTGACTTCTTAGTTAATTTTTTCTTCTGATCTCACCCTTTTGTAGGGGAAGTTGACACGAGAGCTGGCAAGTATTCTTAGTAAACGATATACTGCTCTGACTTCGAATTATGTTATTAAATTCTTTCAGGTTATTTATACTTTATTCAAGCATGCTTGTACTCAATTTATTCTAATAATTGTATAAAACATATTTTATTAATTTTCTCCAAACGATGATTTAACTTCGAAGAAAACATATAGTTTTCTTTAATAGACGCAATTGCATAAAAACATTCGTATTCTCTTTATTAATATGGCAATGAGTAAGTGAAACATAATTAATAATAATTTATTAAATCACCTATATCAATTAAATATAATCAGCTCAACGATGCATGAAATAATTCATATTTAAATTCAAATATAATTAATCGTTACAAATATTTGGATGCATTCGCGAAGCATGATATTTATCATCCTTAATAAGAATACCAATTCGAATCCAAATTTGTATTACGTAACAACCAAAATTCATCTTCTCCGCTCGCTAACAGGCTACCCAAGTTGTAAAAAATAAAAGATAAAAGGTAAGGTTGGTAAAGACATAACTCTTATACTCTGTTTTTCACGCTTGTCGCAGATTTTTAAATACAAGCGGTGTTGGCAGTGGCCTTCCCAGGATAATCGGTCCCTACGGCGATCGGCTCGATTTTTGAGTTCGGTGGCAATTTTGCATCGCTCTTCACCAACGTGATTCCATCCAGTGGTAAGTGACGCGAAGTGACATAATTAATGCATCCCTATACACATGCGCGCCGCTCCACGAAACTTGCAATTATGCGGCGCACGGACTCGACTGTGCACAGCGGATTACATGTCGAGGGATCGCAGGACTATTTGAAAAGTCTGTTGAATAATATGCATATCCCATCGTTTAATCGCCATTCGAGGCTAACGCGTGCTTTTCTTATTTCACTATATACGAAAAATTCTATAAAATATTATTAAAAGTTTGCCAGCAAAGGATTTTCAGATTGTGAAAGAACATTTGCCGATACGTTGATTAACAGGATTGACATTTCATTAATCGTTTATCTCGACAATATTTTTAAATCGTTTGGTCATGATGAATGCCAAAGTAGAGAGTATTTTCCTACTTAGAAATATATAATCAACCAATTAAATGAAAGGAATAATTCTATATGCTTATTGGGTTAACTATTTTATTCTTTCAAGTTATAATTGTTAATGTATATATATATATATATATATATATATATATATATATATGCTACTGACAAAATAAGGCATTGTATAATTAAAAATAACAAATTTTAAACAATGCAGTATTACGGAGGGGGCGGGGGTCTAGCTTTTTTATAAATTCTAATTCAAATGCTTCTATTTTATTCACCTTTCACTTCTCGCAATGGATACTAACATGTATGTATACTAAAAATTAAGCGATGGGAAATAGGTATTTATATCTTCGTGCATTACGTACACTGGGAAGGAGAGTAAAGTAAAAAAAAAAACAATAAAAAAACAAAAACAAAAACAAAAATACGAACAAAAACATAATCAAATGAAAAAGTAATCGACTGCGCAAACACGTTTAGAAAATAATTTTTCATCCAATGACAAGCGTTTCTAAATTACCACCGAGCAGTCTTCCCATATGAAATTTACAATCTAGTATAAACTATAAATGATTTAATTACTTAGATTAACGATCCTGAGCCCTGTGACTCGAGCATTGGCTCGCATTAATAACAAAACGTAGACTTTAAAATTAGTTTGGCATTTGGCAGTCGACGTCGATATGGAATGCGTTGGATGTATACAGATCAGGCAAGCGCCAAGCTGAAAGCAAAGCGATATGATCCATCGAAGAGGCGCCAATGACTAATAAGTAAGCCGACCGCACTGCCTGGCATTTATGAAAGACTCGCCTTTCTTATAAGGTGATTTTATGTAGAAGACGCACGTCGTCGCCGACGCCGCAACGTTGTCCTGTTTGCATACGGATACGCACGCCTTTCGCAAACCACTCGCAAACCACTCGCAAGCCACTCGCCTTCAAATTGTCGTGCTTATTGATAATAAAGACACCGTGCCCAAGCATCGTGTAATCTCGGTGAGAATAATAAGTGAGAATAATGTTAAGCAAAATGTCGACCAAAGAATCCTTTAAATATATAATGCGCCCGAGTCTGTCTCGTGTTAGACTCATTGATGTCGATGATGAATTGCAAGATCGACAGTATTTCGTTTTTACATCGAAAACGCTGCTTTTCCCTAAGATATTTCTTCTTTCTTTCGGAGTTTCTTATTGGTGTGAAATCAGTAGGATTATCGATTCGTGTGAAACGAATCATTATTTTTTTCATGCATAATCCAATAGCCGAGTATACCTTTTGACATTGCATGTGATATATTCTCATAGGCTACAGTCATACAATATTTGCGGTTTAAAATTCGATTTTATTATTTAAAAATACCTATTTTGTATATTTATTATTATTATATTAGTTCTTTTTTCTGCCTTATCAATAGATTAATGGGATCATTCTTAATGACCTTAAATATCTTAAAGCTATATCACGCATTGTTAAATATTGTTAATAGCTAGAAATTATTATTTAAATTAATCAAACGAGTTATTATTCAGTTGATTTTTATAGATTTTCATCCGCAGCTTAAAAAAATCGATTAATTGTAATTGTTAAAAATAATTATAGAACATTAAAAAATGAAATACTCTCATACCAATTGCATCAATTATAAATGCACATGCATATACGTGCGAATGCTCGTTTTTCACGCACGTGTATGCCTGTGCGGCAGGTATATTTGTGTGTGCGCGCGCGCGTGTGTATGTATGCGTGGCTGCATGTACATACGTATGTAAGAGCGCATATATGTGTGTATGTACGTATGTTGTATTTTAATGTGTATTGTTATAAATACGAGCGATTTATTCTATTTATATAATTGTGTTTGATCAAGTTAATTATTAATTTAAAAACAGACGCCACTGATGATATTTCATCAATTTCACTTAAGATTTGTATTAAGAAAAATCACGATTAAATATACTTTTAAAAATTTCCAGATATGCGTTATTTTCTTTTAAATATAGTGTTACCTGTTGTATCCTTCTTTTAATATATCTTAACCATATTCTATCCATATTGTTTATCGAATGAATTAATAATTAGTGCTTGATGATTTATTTATAAATTCATCAATAAACAAATAATCACGATTAAATTAAAAACATTTTCCTTTAGCTGACGTTTTTACAATTTAGTATTTATAATTTTTTTTATTTATGGCACTCCACTTTTATTGATTATTTATATCGTATATTTAATTTAATAATAAATATAAGGAAAATTGATTGATATATTATATTATATAAGATAAAGTAATTATTGCTTATCTCAGAGATGAAATAATTGGTATTCTATTATTTTCTTTATACCAAAAATTTATTGCAATATATAATTAACGTTCTTACATAAAATTACTTCTATTAATACTTTTGCTAATATCTAATGTTATAAACATTTTCATACACAATAAATAAATGAAAAAGATGTAAAATTCAATTAAATCTATTCAATTTATACATGACATATGTACATCATTGTAAATATCCATCATTTAATAATTATAATAATAATGATGATGATGATTATGATGATGATGATGATGATGATGATTATGATGATGATTATTATGACGATGATTATGATGATGACGACGATGATGATTATGATTATGATTATGATGATGATGATGACGATGATAACAATGTTATTGTTAGTACTTGTAGTACTAATATATGAAATTAATTCTTACAATTATACTCTTAATTAATACTTACAATTTAAATAATATTAAGGATCAACCTACATTTGTATGAAGTGTCCGCGTGTGCGTGCGCACAAAGGCACTGGGAAGGGCGCACTATTACAAATTTTATGAAAATAATAAACTGGATAATGTGAATAAAGTGTATACAGTTAATGAAAATGGTGATTTTTTTAACTGTGCTTCCTTTGCATTAAAAATATGATAATAAACTTTCTTTGATAGATTATTAACTTTTAAAAAAACTTTAAAAATAATTAAACTTTATTTAGAATCGAATATGATCTATTTATAAGTATTTAATGAAATATTATAATTCTTATAATACAAACTAAATTATATTATTCGAGAAGCTATAAGTGGTAATTTAAGTATTCAAGAAACAGAGTTAAAAGGTCATTTTAATTCGATAAGTTGAAAGGTATTTGTAGGAAAGATAATTTTTATGTAAATAAAAGTAACGGAAATTTGTTTTGTGATGAATAAAATGCCCTTTGAAAGGACTTAAAGTTCAAGGAAATTCTATTGAAAAATTCCTGAAAACAAATAATATAAGCTTTTAAAATTCTCGTAAAAAATAACATTTAAAACAAAAATTTTTTTTACCCTCTTCGTTAAAAACTTTTATTGATCAATTTGTACGTTGAAAGAGAGCGATTTTCTAGTAAACAAAGCTGTCAGACTATTTAAAGAACCTTTTCTTTGAACCTGTATTGGTCAAGATGTCTTTTTGTCATAGATGCAATCTCACGCTTCCGTTGCAAGAATTTTCTCTTACCAAGAGACGGATAATTTTGACGAATTCTTCCTTCACTCAACACCACAATGCTTTAGCTAATAATGTACTATCCAGAGCTTCAAATGAGAACAAAATTTTCTTGCGATAAACTCATATTCGGAGGCGCATTTTTATCTAACGTATAATAACCACGGAATCTCGATCTGTTTTTGACATCTATTCGGTCTATCGCATTGCTCAATTGTAATACAAAAGAAAACAAAGAACTTTAGTCACTCCGTTAAATATGATTATACCGAGTGTCAATCACATGCGCGCAAACGCTCTTACACATTAGAATAAATAAATCGAGAGAGAGAGAGAGAGAGAGAGGGAGAGAGAGAGAGAGAGAGAGAGAGAGTGAGAGAGAGTGTGTGAATGAGCGAGAGCGGTAGAGGGGGTTTGCATTTGTTAAAGGCGAAATCGCGCATATGAAGGGGCGGGAGTGACGTAGCGCGAGGGTCTGTGTGCGCGCCGCGCGGTCGCGACGCCGTCGTCGCCTCGTCGCCGCGTCGTCGACGGCTGCGTTTCCTGTGGAGCCCGTCGTCCTTCTCGTCGACGACGCCAGGTCACCCCTCTCTGTCCCCCGCTGCCCACACTTCCCACTGGGCCTCTTCCTATCTCCCCCCCCCCTATTCAACTCTTACTCCTCATCGTTCTCCTCCTCCTCCCCCCCCCCCGTCCCCCCCGCCATTGCCGCCCCCTGCCAATCCTAAAAATGCTGGTGTATAATGCAGAGGTTTAAGCGTTGGAGTGTGGAAGCGAGGCCTTATAGCTTGCCAATTTCGCACGCCGCATGGTATGTCTCGCGAACTTCGACTCTGCTATGATTCATTCGGAATAAGGTGGAGAATCGGCCAAGACTGGCCAATTCGTAAACACGTGAGGTCGACCCTTCGAGCTTTAAATAATTCTGGGTTGGGGGAGGGATTGCAGAATTGGCGTACGGTTAGTATGACCCAAGCGAATAATAGTGGATTGTGATGAATATTATTTGGCATTTACTAAGTAAGACTATAAATTTTGAAGAGCAAGTAGCTAGAGCATCCGACAATTGGCCAACGCACTTTGTATTCGACAATGAGCAAACTTTACTTATAGCTTGCTAGTGCTTCGAGTATGAATTAATTACTTTGATTCGAGTGGACAATTTATTGATTCGATGATTGTGATAATTTCATTTAGAGATTTCGAGATTTTAATAATTATTAAAATTCATAATAATATCAGGATTTTTATGATTATACTTGTAAGATTTATGATTTTTTTCAAAAACTCTAATTAAAAATTTTAATTTAAATATCATTTGCCTAATATTCTTTAAATTGCTTTATATTTACTTTATAATAAACTATTATTTGTAGTAATGTTAAATACAGTTCAATTGATATAATGCATCGTGAAAATAGAGCGTAAGTATTAGATTTTTTTATAATTTTTTTTGTTTTTTTTTTTTTTTTTGTTTTATTTTGTAATGGCCAATTTGTAATTTTCAAACGAAGTAATTGCAATTGTTATAAGATCTTGATGTCTGCTAATTTATGATTATATTTAGGGTGAGAACATTAACGTACATGCCTTAACAACGTCTTTCCAATGCATATAATGTAGATGTTTTAAGAATTATTCTAAACTGTATCTTTTCGTAATTATATGATTATTATGTAATATTGAATAAAATCTACTAGATAAAATATTATATTTATTGTTGTAATGTAATCAATGCATGACAAAGTTTTAAATTGTTATTATTGTTCATTATCGAGAGATTGTAAGTAATTCCGATAATATTTTGGGCTTGGTTTAGCAAATTACGTCATTCGTATATGCAATAAAACAATCGATATTCGTCTTTTTCTTTTATACTCATTAATAATCCGTATATTTTAAACTTGCATAATGCATGTAATGAATTTAAATGTTACTATTAGGAATTTAAGAATTTCAAAAGAATATAAAATAAATGAATTCAGTATTTGCAAATTTTTTAAATATTATAGCAACGTATCTGATCCATGAATGTTAAATATCATCGATAGTAATATATAATTTTTTTTTTTCCAATTAATTGAAATGTATTAAAATTATGATTGTATAATTATTGTATTTAACCGCTTCCATCTTAAAATATCTAATGCTTGATCTAAGATTTGTTGTTTAACGATCTATCATTATTATATTATGCTTTACAAAAAATGTAGTGAATACATTAAAAATAAATTTATTATGACAATTATTTTCATTACGATTAATTTTAATAATAATATATGTCTCTGTGGAAATACTCGTAATTTTTTATTACTTTACATATTCAACAGTATTTAATAATTGTATAATATTTTGTTTGCGAATATATTTAACAATTTATTTAATTTTAATTTATTCATATATACAATAATTTTCATTACTATGACTGAAAAATAATACCATTTATATATTTGTATGATTTAATTTTTCCACCCCATTTATGGGATGGAATTTTTATAAATTCTCAGCTATTGTATTAATTATAAAACATATAAAAGTGACAAACTTTTACAGCTTGTATAGATACATTAATCTCGTGATATTATAATTTACAAGAAAATGATTATATATAAATCGGTTTACAAAAATTCTTTCAGACGCCTATAAAATAAAAATGTATATGATATGTAGGCTAATGATAATTTATAATTAATAATATGCAACACTAATTGCTTTAAAGCAATTTAAAAATAAAAATAATAATTTTTAATGACGGCAGAAATTATAAAATTGTGTCATATACACAATTTTGCAACGAAATGTCCGAAAAAATCTAGAATCATCATTTATTAAGCTAGTAATTTT